CTGAAGTTTGCCAATGACCATCTGGATGATCCAGAGGAGGAATGGGAGAAGGTAATGTGGTCTGATGAGACAAAAACATAGCTTTTTGGTCTAAACTCCACTCGCCGTGTTTGGAGGAAGAAGAAGGATGAGTACAACCCCAAGAACACCATCCCAACGTGAAGCTCGGAGGTGGAAACATAATTCTTTGGGGATGCTTTTCTGCAAAGGGGACAGGACGACTGCACAGTATTGAGGGGAGGATGGATGGGGCCATGTTTCGCGAGATCTTGGCCAACAACCTCCTTCCCTCAGTGAGAGCATTGAAGATGGGTCGTGGCTGGGTCTTCCAGCATGACAACGACCCGAAACCCACAGCCAGGGCAACTAAGGAGTGGCTCCGTAAGAAGCATCTTAAGGTCCTGGAGTGGCCTAGCCAGTCTCCAGACCTGAACCCAATAGAAAATCTTTGGAGGGAGCTGAAAGTCCGTATTGCCCAGCGACAGCCCCGAAACCTGAAGGATCTGGAGAGGGTCTGTATGGAGGAGTGGGCCAAAATCCCTACTGCAGTGTGTGCAAACCTGGTCAAGACCTACAGGAAACGTATGATCTCTGTAATTGCAAACAAAGGTTTCTGTACCAAATAATAAGTTCTGCTTTTCTGATGTATCAAATACTTATGTCATGCAATAAAATGCAAATGAATTACTTAAAAATCATACAATGTGATTTTCTGGATTTTTGTTTTAGATTCCGTCTCTCACAGTTGAAGTGTACCTATGATAAAAATTACAGACCTCTACATGCTTTGTAAGTAGGAAAACCTGCAAAATCAGCAGTGTATTAAATACTTGTTCTCCCCACTGTATATATTTCCCTTTATTACTTTCCAACCCCACCACCCCTTCCCTAATTGGAGTAAACTAGTGAACAACAATGCTTAGGCCTCTACTTCCAGCTTATACATACTATATACATTTTATGGACACAGTCAATTTTACAATAATTCTATTTTGTTTGTTTTTACTCCTGATCTTCCTCTACCCTCAACCTCTCTGATCAATTTCATGATGTCCATCCGGTTTGCTTCTATATGCCATATCTTTCTAACTGTGCTCTTTCACAAAAGCTCTCAACCTATAACCTATATACTTATTATGGACACAGTATGCTTTACATTAGTTATCTTGTTGTTATTAGTTGTTGTTAGTTGTTATTAGTCCCATCCTTCAACTCCATTCAACACCACCCATCTATCACTTAACACCATCCATATTGGATTTCTATTTGCCAGATGTATTTCAACTGTACTGTGATGTTTAACAAAAGTTCTGAACCGTTCTATTCTCATTGTTTCGACAGATTGTAAATTGAAAATAAACATTTTTGCTAAAAGTATTATTATATTATTGATCGATTGACTATGACTTTTCAGATCATCCAGTAGTGCTATCTGCAGGGTTAGCTCCAGGTACATACGCTCTGGCTGGCCCACTCAAGGACATTCAGAGACTTGTCCCGAAGAAACTCCTGCGTTGTCTTGGCTGCGTGCTTAGGGTCATTGTCCTGTTGAAAGGTGAACCTTTTCCCCAGTCTGAGGTCCTGAGCACTCTGGAGCAGGTTTTCATCAATGATCTCTCTGTACTTTGCTCCGTTCATCTTTCCCTCGATCCTGACTAGTCTCCCAGTCCCTGCCGCAGAAAAACATCCCCACAGCATGATGCTGCCACCACCATGCTTCACCGTAGGGATAGTGCCAAGTTTCCTCCAGATGTGATGCTTGGCATTCAGGCCAAATACTTAAATATTGGTTTCATCAGACCAGAGAATCTTGTTTCTCATGGTCTGAGAGTTTTTAGGTGCCTTTTGGCAAACTCCAAATGGGCTGTCATGTGCCTTTTACTGAGGAGTGGCTTCTGTCTGGCCACTCTACCATAAAGGCCTGATTGATGGAGTGCTGCAGAGATGGTTGTCCTTCTGGAAGATTCTCCAATGTCTCCAAAAGGAATTCTGGAGCTCCTTCAGAGTGACCATCAGGTTCTTCTCCCCCGATTGCTCAGTTTGGCCGGGTGGCCAGCTCTAGGAAGAGTCTTGGTGGTTGCAAACTTCTTCCATTTAAGAATGATGGAGGCCACTGTGTTCTTGGGGACCTAAAATGCTGCACAAATGTTTTGGTGCCCTTCCCCAGATCTGTGCCTCGACACAATCCTTTCTCTGAGCTCTGCGGACAATTCCTTCAACCTCATGGCTTGGTTTTTGCTTTGACATGCAATGTCAACTGTGGGAACTTATATACAGTGAGGGAAAAAAGTATTTGATCCCCTGCTGATTTTGTACGTTTTCCCACTGACAAAGGAATGATCAGTCTATAATTTTAATGGTAGGTTTATTTGAAATAACAACAAAAAAATCAAGAAAAACGCATGTCAAAAATGTTATAAATTGATTTGCATTTTAATGAGGGAAATAAGTATTTGACCCCCTCTCAATCAAAAAGATTTCTGGCTCCCAGGTGTCCTTTATACAGGTAACGAGCTGAGATTAGGAGCACACTCTTAAAGGGAGTGCTCCTAATCTCAGTTTGTTACCTGTATAAAAGACACCTTTCCACAGAAGCAATCAATCAATCAGATTCCAAACTCTCCACCATGGCCAAGACCAAAGAGCTCTCCGAGGATGTCAGGGACAAGATTGTAGACCTTGGCCGAGGGAGATTGACAGTTATTTTGTGTTTCTTCCATTTGCGAATAATCACACAAACTGTTATCACCTTCTCACCAAGCTGCTTGGTGATGTCTTGTAGCCCATTCCAGCCTACAATCTTGTCCCTGACATCCTTGGAGAGCTCTTTGGTCTTGGCCATGGTGGACAGTTTGGAATCTGATTGATTGATTGCTTCTGTGGACAAGTGTCTTTTATACAGGTAACAAACTGAGATTAGGAGCGTTCCCTTTAAGTGTGTGCTCCTAATCTCAGTTTGTTACCTGTATAAAAGACACCTTTCCACAGAAGCAATCAATCAATCAGATTCCAAACTCTCCACCATGGCCAAGACCAAAGAGCTCTCCGAGGATGTCAGGGACAAGATTGTAGACCTACACAAGGCTGGAATGGGCTACAAGACCATCGCCAAGCAGCTTGGTGAGAAGGTGACAACAGTTGGTGCGATTATTCGCAAATGGAAGAAACACAAAATAACTGTCAATCTCCCTCGGCCTGGGGCTCCATGCAAGATCTCACCTCGTGGAGTTGCAATGATCATGAGAACGGTGTGGAATCAGCCCAGAACTACGCGGGGGGATCTTTTCAATGATCTCAAGGAAGCTGGGACCATACTCACCAAGAAAACTATAGGTAACACACTGCGCCGTGAAGGAATGAAATCCTGCAGCGCCCACAAGGTCCCCCTGCTCAAGAAAGCACATATACAGGCCCGTCTGAAGTTTGCCAATGAACATCTGAATGATTCAGAGGAGAACTGGGTGAAAGTGTTGTGGTCAGATGAGACCAAAATCGAGCTCTTTGGCATCAACTCAACTCGCCGTGTTTGGAGGAGGAGGAATGCTGCCTATGACCCCAAGAACACCATCCCCACCATCAAACATGGAGGTGGAAACATTATGCTTTGAGGGTGTTTTTCTGCTAAGGGGACAGGACAACTTCACCGCATCAAAGGGACGATGGACGGGGCCATGTACCGTCAAATCCTGGGTGAGAACCTCCTTCCCTCAGCCAGGGCATTGAAAATGGGTCGTGGATGGGTATTCCAGCATGACAATGATCCAAAACACACGGCAAAGGCAACAAAGGAGTGGCTCAAGAAGAAGCACATTAAGGTCCTGGAGTGGCCTAGCCAGTCTTCAGACCTTAATCCCATAGAAAATCTGTGGAGGGAGCTGAAGGTTCGAGTTGCCAAACGTCAGCCTCGAAACCTTAATGACTTGGAGAAGATCTGCAAAGAGGAGTGGGACAAAATCCCTCCTGAGATGTGTGCAAACCTGGTGGCCAACTACAAGAAACGTCTGACCTCTGTGATTGCCAACAAGGGTTTTGCCACCAAGTACTAAGTCATGTTTTGCAGAGGGGTCAAATACTTATTTCCCTCATTAAAATGCAAATCAATTTATAACATTTTTGACATGCGTTATTCTGGATTTTTTTGTTGTTATTCTGTCTCTCACTGTTCAAATAAACCTACCATTAAAATGATAGACTGATCATGTCTTTGTCAGTGGGCAAACGTACAAATTCAGCAGGGGATCAAATACTTTTTTCCCTCACTGTAGACAGGTGTGTGCCTTTCCAAATCATGTCCAATCAATTGAATTTACCACAGGTGGACTCCAATCAAGTTGTAGAAACATGTAAATAAGGTATTTCTGTGTTTTTGCCCAAAAAAAATGAAAACCTGTTTTCGCTTTGTCATTGTGGGGTATTGTGTCTAGATTGACAAGGACATTTTTTTATTTAATCCATTTTAGAATAATGCTGTAATGTAACAACATGTGTAAAAAGTAAAGAGATCGGAATACTTTCCAAATGCACTGTATATACTTCCATACATTTTTCCGACTGGTACCGGGGGACCTTCAGACAAGTCTTGTGAGGCCTGTGGGTGTCCTAGAAACATGTACGTGTTGGTGAGAGTCTCACCTTTACACAGAGGGGTCATATTAATATGTAGCCTGCTACAGCCAGAAGTTGGCATATCGGCTGAACCGACTTCAGACGAGTCCCAAGACGCTTGTGGGAGTCATCTTTCCATAGAATGGTCCTAATAGTTTCTAGGCCAAACCGTTCAGACGCTACAGATGATTAGACCGCTCTAGCTCTGTCACCTTTCACCACAGATGCGGAAGTGAAATACATCTCTAGCTTAAACTGACAGATTTACATGGGGATTTTAATGCAAATTAGATTTCCGTGCGGGTGCAGATATCAACCTTAGGGGGTTTTAATGGACACATAGCAAATTTCTGTTACTTTTGCAGATGTAAACTGCCTGATCATTAACCTGGATTATGTCAACTGCACCTGGAGTGCACAGGGGAGACCAGAGGTCAACTTCACATTCTTCCACAACAGGTTGGTGCAATGGCAGTACCCTGTCTTACTTTCAACATATGTGTTGGGCAATAGGTGTTGAGCTCTTTGGCACAAAATGCTTGCCGTGCATCACTGTGATGGGTGCTACACATTGGTTGTGGTTGAGTGAGTTTCCTCCATGAAAGGGATTTCGAGACCTAGAGAGATGTGACAGTGACTGTCTAATCTTAATGTCCATTCTTTTGTAATACTTCCCATTCATGATCTTCATGTGGTATGTGTTTAGGTTCATCACAGGGAATATGGAGGAGTGCACAACATATCTCCAGGAGAAGAGTAATGCTGTGGGATGTAGACTGTCGTTTGACATGTCTGACAGGTTTAGAACACTGACAACCAAGCTGGTCCATCAGAACAAAAGTTATGTGAAGAACCTTAACCTCAAACGCATTGGTTGGTTTTTTTTCTCAATCAAATCATAACATTACATACAGAACAGCATTAAACATACAGTGGGGGAAAAAAGTATTTAGTCAGCCACCAATTGTGCAAGTTCTCCCACTTAAAAAGATGAGAGAGGCCTGTAATCAACTATGACAGACAAATTGAGAAGAAAAAAATCCAGAAAATCACATTGTAGGATTTTTTATGAATTTATTTGCAAATTATGGTGGAAAATAAGTATTTGGTCACATACAAACAAGCAAGATTTCTGGCTCTCACAGACCTGTAACTTCTTCTTTAAGAGGCTCCTCTGTCCTCCACTCGTTACCTGTATTAATGGCACCTGTTTGAACTTATTATCAGTATAAAAGACACCTGTCCACAACCTCAAACAGTCACACTCCAAACTCCACTATGGCCAAGACCAAAGAGCTGTCAAAGGACACCAGAAACAAAATTGTAGACCTGCACCAGGCTGGGAAGACTGAATCTGCAATAGGTAAGCAGCTTGGTTTGAAGAAATCAACTGTGGGAGCAATTATTAGGAAATGGAAGACATACAAGACCACTGATAATCTCCCTTGATCTGGGGCTCCACACAAGATCTCACCCCGTGGGGTCAAAATGATCACAAGAACGGTGAGCAAAAATCCCAGAACCACACGGGGGGACCTAGTGAATGACCTGCAGAGAGCTGGGACCAAAGTAACAAAGCCTACCATCAGTAACACACTACACCGCCAGGGACTCAAATCCTGCAGTGCCAGACGTGTCCCCCTGCTTAAGCCAGTACATGTCCAGGCCCGTCTGAAGTTTGCTAGAGTGCATTTGGATGATCCAGAAGAGGATTGGGAGAATGTCATATGGTCAGATGAAACCAAAATATAACTTTTTGGTAAAAACTCAACTCGTCGTGTTTGGAGGACAAAGAATGCTGAGTTGCATCCAAAGAACACCATACCTACTGTGAAGCATGGGGGTGGAAACATCATGCTTTGGGGCTGTTTTTCTGCAAAGGGACCAGGACGACTGATCCGTGTAAAGGAAAGAATGAATGGGGCCATGTATCGTGAGATTTTGAGTGAAAACCTCCTTCCATCAGCAAGGGCATTGAAGATGAAACGTGGCTGGGTCTTTCAGCATGACAATGATCCCAAACACACCGCCCGGGCAACAAAGGAGAGGCTTCGTAAGAAGCATTTCAAGGTCCTGGAGTGGCCTAGCCAGTCTCCAGATCTCAACCCCATAGAAAATCTTTGGAGGGAGTTGAAAGTCCGTGTTGCCTAGCGACAGCCCCAAAACATCACTGCTCTAGAGGAGAACTGCATGGAGGAATGGGCCAAAATACCAGCAACAGTGTGTGAAAACCTTGTGAAGACTTACAGAAAATGTTTGACCTGTGTCATTGCAAACAAAGGGTATATAACAAAGTATTGAGAAACTTTTATTGACCAAATACTTATTTTCCACCATAATTTGCAAATAAATTAATTAAAAATCCTACAATGTGATTTTCTGGATTTCTTTTTCTCATTTTGTCTGTCATAGTTGACGTGTACCTATGATGAAAATTACAGGCCTCTCTCATCTTTTTAAGTGGGAGAACTTGCACAATTGGTGGCTGACTAAATACTTTTTTTCCCCACTGTAAATAGCAATAGTCATCTTAAATTAGGCTTTTCAGCATGTGTGTTTGTCCTATATTCAATCTTCATTTGATGTGTCGTTAACGTTTGACCCTCCTTGATGCTTTTTCTAGTGAAGCTTTACCCTCCTACCAACCTGTCAGTTGAGATGAACAAAGACCCAGAGCTGAATCTGTACTGGAACAACAGCAAGAACAACCAATGCATTGAGAGTGAAGTGCGCTACAGAATAAACAGCAACAAGTGGCAGGTGGGGAGGGGTCAGGACTCAGACGTTGGACTACTGTTTGGACTCTGTAGCCTAATGGTCATTTTTCAACAAAATACTGGACAAATCTTTGAAAGAACTCTCTCTCTCTCCTCCACTCTCTCTTTGTTCTTTTCTTCAGAGTTCTACTCTGAGATGGGAACAGAAATATATTGTAAATGACCCCTTAAAGAACAGTCTGTATGAGTTTCAAGTGCGAGCACGAGTTAACAGCGATTGTGGCGAGTCCGAGTTCTGGAGTGATTGGAGTCAGCCCATTCTATGGGATTCCATGAAGGGAAATAACATCACAGGTAAATAGATCCAAAATCTCTGCTTTGGCTTTATGGTTATAAGGTTGTGCTTAGGCTTCTATCAGTACTTTGTCATGGCTCCATTCTTCCTCTGAAAATAAGTTAAACTCTGATTCTGAACTGACCCTATCACTTTGTAGAGAACGACTGAGATGCATCCTCATTCCCATTGTGCCTAATCCAGGCAAGAACCTGGAGGACCTTCTTGACAAGGACAATTTAGAGGTACTATTTATCACTGGTTGCTCTTTACCATTCAATACACTTCATTATAATATTTGTATCTTATATGTGTTACTGTTATCTACAGTGTATATCAAATATCTTAAGACATTTGCTTCCAGCCTAACTTCACTGAGCGTGTCTGTCCTGTTCGTGAGTATCGTCTGGTTCCCCAAACCGGCAGCGTCAGTGAGTCTGAGAGCAACCTCTCCATCCCAACAGACCAGTCAGATTCCCTGTCCACGTGCTCTTCCTCAACTTCCACTCTTCCTGTCACAAGTGAAAATGAACGAGCTGGTTTTGAATGATTGTTACAAAGGTCTAATAATGCTTTATAATGTTTTTACAATACAAAACATCCACATACAAAGACAACTACACCAACATCCACAATATCACCCCTGCCCAGACCCACCTGCTCACACCCCCATCTCCAGCACCTGCATCACTCTCCGCCACATGGCCTCAAACGGCACCATTTTGTTTCTCTCCATCGCCCACGTACTTTCAACATTTGGATAATGAAGCATTTTAGTTTTCCATTGTGTTAACAATAGAGGATTGGTTGATTTCCAGTTTTTAAGTATATGTGTTTTTCAAGATGATTGACAGGAAAAGTATCCCAATGGGTATCTCACTGCACTCCCATATGCCATGTCTTGAAATATGCAGACAGACGGATTATAGCATTCCCAGAAGGCATGGATTATTGAGTCATTGTTAGTTTTACACTTAAGACATGTGTCTACCGTTGTGCTGCAGAATTTGTGAATTTTGTCTCTTGTGTAATAATTTCTAAAACATTTGTTTATACTGGATTAAGGGGGCAGAGTGTCTGTGGGTTTTTGGTTTTTCCTTTCAATTAAGACCTAGACAACCAGGTGAGGAGAGTTCCTTACTAATTAGTGACCTTAATTCATCAATCAAGCACAAGGGTGGAGCGAAAAACCGCAGACACTCTGCCCTCCTTGGAATGAGTTTGAAACATGTACTGTAAAGCTATCAACCTCTGATCCAGAGCGACTTACAGTAACAAGTGCATTCATTTTCATACTGTTATAAGTTTCACTGGGCTTAATTTGTTTGTTTATTTTACTTCTAAATGTCAATATATTTCTCTGTGAATTATGTTTGTGTTCAAACTGTGTAATTTATATTATATTTAGTTAGTTGTATCCTTTATTCCTGCTCTCTGAGGCTCCCCAGGGTTGAGAATGTCAGACTAGACTGGTCTCTGACAAATAATAAAATATCAGTAGGCTACAGTAGAAAAACGTTTGTCTAAAGTTTGAGGTGTTTGAATCCAGAATGGGCATAACCAGACCCAGAGCCATATAGACTCTGGGCGTACCCATCACCAGAGATACTGAATATAATGACGAGGCGCTTGTGTTTCCGCTCTAACAATGGGATTCGTTGTCCACGGAGCAGAACGGTGGGCTGTCAAGCTCTCGCGGTCCCGCCTATTCCTCTCTTTGGATTGGTTGATATATCTTGTTATTTTAAAACTTTTTTGAATATTCGATGAGGGGTGTTGACGTCAACCACCGGTATACAATGGAGAGTGAGACGCTATGCTAGCCTCATGAATATGCATAGATCCTCCCTATGCAACTGGATCCTGGACTTCCTGACAGGCCGCCCCCAGGTGGTGATGGTAGGCAACAACACATCCGCCATGCTGACCCTCAACACGAGGGCTCCTCGGGTGCGTGCTTAGTCCCCTCCTGTACTCCCTGTTCACCCTTGACTGCGTGGCCGCGCACGACTCCAACACCATCATTAAGTTTGCCGACGACACGACGATGGAGGGGGTCAGAGACCTGGCAGTGTGGTGCAAGATAAGGGGAGAGGGGGCAGGGTAAGGAGAGAGGGGGCAGGGTAAGGGAGAGGGGACAGGGTAAGGGATAGGGGGTAAGGGGAGGGTAACGGTAGGAGGGACTGGGGGAGGGAGGGGTCGGGGTAAGGAGAGGGGACGGGTTCTAGGGGAGAGGGACGAACCGGTTAAGGGAAGAGGGAACGGTAGGGGTTTAAGGGGTAAAGAGGGCAGGGTATGAGGGGGTGCGGGAGAGGGGGAAGTAGGTAGGGGAAGGGCGTGTAGTAGGGAGAGGGTAGACAGGGAAATGGAAAGGGGATAGAGGGGAGGGGGGTAGGGTTGAGAGGGGACGGGGTAAGGGAGAGGGAGGGAAGGTAAGGGGAAGGGGGTGGGGGTACAGGGTAAGTGGGATGGGGCAGGGTAAGGATGAGAGGGGAGGGTACGTGGTAGGAGTAAGTGGAGGAGGGGCTGGGGTAAGGATAAGTGGAAGAGGGGTGTGAGGGTAAGGAGAGAGGGGACGGGTAAGGGTGAGGGGAGGGACGGGAAGGGTGGGGGATGGAGGGAGAGGGGCAGGGTAAGGGGATAAGTGAGATGAGGAGGTAGGTTAAGTGGACGGGGGGGAGGGAAGGCGTGGGACGGAGACAGGGGAAGGGGTGAGAGGGGCAGGGTAAGGAGAGAGGGGACAGGGTACGGAGGAGGAAAGGAAGGATGGAGGGGGAGGGTAAGGGGAGAGGGGACAGGTAAGGGGAGAGGGGGCAGGGTGAAGGGGAGAGGACAGGGTAGGGGGAGGGGGGCAGGGTTAGGTAAGGGAGAGGGCAGGGTAAGGGAGAGGGGGGGTGAGGGGATAAGGTAGGATTGAAGGAGGGGGGGAGGTAAGGTGCGAGAGGGGTGGGTAAGGATTAGTGGAGGGGGGGTAAGGGAAGAGGGAGAAGGAGGGGAGGAGTAAGGAGAGGGGAGCGTATAGGTGGAGAGAGGGGACAGTGGGTAAGGAGGAGAGGGGACGGGTAGGGGTAAGGGGACCAGGGTAAGGGGGGGAGAGGGGACAGGGTAAGGTGAGAGGGGACAGGGGAATAAGGAGGGAAACGAAGGGTAAGGAGAAGGGGACAGGGTAAGGGGAGAGGGGAAGGGTAATCGGTAAGGAAGAGAGAGGGGACAGGGTAAGGGAAGTGGACAGGGTTAAATGGAAGGGGTAAGGGAGGGGGGGGCAGGGTAAGGGAAGGGAAGAGGGCGGGGGAAGGGTAATTGTGGACAGGGAGGGGGGGGGGAAGTGGAGAGGAGGGGGAGTTGGGGATGATAAGGAGGAGAAGGTGGTGGGATGGAAGGAAAGTGGTAGGAGGGGGGGCAGGGGTAAGGTAGGGAGAGGGGGGGGGGTAAGGGAGAGGGGACAGGGTAAGGGGAGAGAGGGGAAGGGTACAGGGTTGAGAGGGGGAAAGGGGAAAGGGGAAGAGAGGGACAGGGTTAAAAGGAGAGAGGGGGACAGGGTAATAGGAGAGGGAGGGGACAGGGTAAGGGGAGAGGGAGGAGGGGGGGTAAGGAGGAGAGGGGAGAGGGACAGGTAAGGGGAGAGGGGAAGGGGACAGGTATATAGGAGAGAGGGGACAGGGTTAAGGGGGAGCGGGGGTAAGAAGAGAGCAGGGTAAGGGGATGAGGGGGTGGGGCGGTAGGGAAGGAGAGGGGAGGGGGCAGGGTAAGGGGAGAGGGGTGGGGCAGGGTAAGGGAGAGGGGAAAGGGTGGTAAGGGAGAGTAGGGGGCAGGGTAAGGGAGAGGGGGCAGGGTAGGAGAGAGGGGCCAGGGTATCAGGGGAGAGCGGGTAGGGGACAGGGTAGGGAGAGGGGAGGGTAAGGGAAGGGGGACAGGGTAAGGGAGAGGGGACAGGTAAGGGGAGAGGGGGTGGGTAAAGGAGAGGGGACAGGGTAAGGGATAGGGTTGACATGGGTAAGGAAGAGAGGGGACAGGGTAAGGGGAGAGGGGGTGGGGTAAGGAGAGAGGGGAGGGGTCGGGTTACGTAAGGGGATGAGAGGGGAGGTAAGGGGAGAGGGGGTAGGGGGTAAGAGAGGGGGTGGGGCAGGGTAAGGGAGAGGGGGTGGCAGGGGTAAGGGGAGAGGGGGCCAGGGTAAGGGAGAGGGGACAGTGGTAAGGGTAAGGGTGACGAGGGGGTGGGGTAAGGAGAGAGGGGACGGGGGTATAAGGGGAGAGGGGACAGGGTAAGGGAAGCGGGGACAGGGTAAGGAAGGGAGAGGGGAGAGGGGGTGGGGGTCGGATTAAGTGGAGAAGGGGGGTGGGGTCAGCGAATAAAGTGGGAAGAGGGGGTGGGGTAAGGATAAGTGGAGAAGGGGGTGGGGTAAGGATAAGTGGAGAGGGGGTGGGGTAAGGATAAGTGGAGAGGGGGGGGGTGGGGTGAGGAGGACAGGGTAAGGGGAGAGGCAGGAACAGGGTAGGGACGAGAGGGGGAGGGGGCAGGGGTAAGGGGAGAGGGGACAGGGTAAGGGGAGAGGGGGCAGGGTAAGGGGAGAGGGGGAAGGGTAATGAGAGGGGACAGGGTAAGGGAGAGGTAGAGGGGGATGGGTAATGGCAGAGCACATTCTTCTTCTATTATATAAAATAAGTCTCACGTATCAAAATAGCAATTTATTTTTATCTTGACTAACTTCGACACTCTTTCATCGCCCCCCATACAAAAATTCCTCACTTGCTTAAAGGTGCAATATGCAGAAATCACTCCGCCATTTCTTCGTTTTTAATTGATTACATTTCCTCTCAGTTACGTTATAGGCCCACGTAGTTGGTTGGAAGGCGGGCTTGGGGATTCCGGTGGTTGTGTTAGAGACGTGGGTTGATCGGAGCAGCAGTATCAATTGTTGATAGAAAATCTAACTTAACTAGGTGTGGCGGCGGTTCGGCACGGTTCGGCTGTGACTGGGTCAGAGATGGTGGAAGATAGTGATGGAGAAGAAAGTGAAGCAAGTATGGAACATAGTGGTACAAATAAAGGAGGGAGTAGGAAAGAGAAAAAGAAAAAGAAAGCGGGAGAGCATGGGAGTAGGGGTTTGAAGGGGAGCGAGAGGTCTATGGAGGCAGAAAAGTACGTTTGAGGAGAGCAACATAGTTTCCAACGCTAGCGGCAGTTCGGAGGTAGAGATTGCCGAGGAAGGGCAAGATAAGATGCGAGGGGAACATGGAGGTGAGGAGGAGCATAAAGTGATTCTGAAGTTTAGGGAGGAAGGGGGAGTTGGGGCGATGAGTCCGATAAGGTTGACGACTGTGATAAAATAGTTGATTGGGGAAGTTGTCAATGCTAAAGTGTTAAGAGATGGGAGCTTGTTGGAGTTCTGTAAGGACATGGCGCAGAGGGAAAAAGCTCTGAGTGAAGCAAATAGGGAAGTGTAAGGTGGTGTTGAGCAGCTGGACTGAGCAAGCTCAGGAAGCTCTCATCCATTTATATGCAGATGATACAGTCTTATACTCAGCTGGCCCCTTCCCGGATTTTGTGTTAAACGCTCTACAACAAAGCTTTCTTAGTGTCCAACAAGCTTTCTCTGCCCTTAACCATGTTCTGAACACCTCTAAAACAAAGGTCATGTGGTTTGGTAAGAAGAATGCCCCTCTCCCCACCGGTGTGATTACTACCTCTGAGGGTTTAGAGCTTGAGGTAGTCACCTCATACAAGTACTTGGGAGTATGGCTAGACAGTACACTGTCCTTCTCTCAGCACATATCCAAGCTGCAGGCTAAGGTTAAAACTAGACTTAGTTACCTCTATCGCAATCGCTCCACTTTCACCCCAGCTGCCAAACTGATTCAGATGACCATCCTACCCATGCTAGATTACGGAGACTTAATATATAGATCGGCAGGTAAGGGTGCTCTCGAGTGGCTAGATGTTCTTTACCATTCAGCCATCAGATTTGCCACCAATGCTCCTTATAGGACACATCACTGCACTCTATACTCCTCTGTAAACTGGTCATCTCTGTATACCCATCGAAGACCCACTGGTTGATGCTTATTTATAAAACCCTCTTAGGCCTCACTCCCCCCTATCTGAGATACCTACTGCAGCAGTCATCCTCCACATACAACACCCGTTCTGCCAGTCACATTCTGTTCAAAGTCCCCAAAGCACACACATCCCTGGGTCGCTCCTTTTTCCAGTTTGCTGCAGCTAGCGACTGGAACGAGCTGCAAGAAACACTCAAACTGGACAGTTTTATCTCCATCTCTTCATTCAAAGACTCAATCATGGACACTCATACTGACAGTTGTGGCTGCTTCACGTGACGTTTTGTTGTCTCTACCTTCTTGCCTTTGTACTGTTGTCTGTGCCCAATAAGGTTTGTACCATGTTTTGTGCTGCTACCATGTTGTGTTGCTACCATGCTGTGTTGTCATGTGTTGTTGCCATGCTATGTTGTTGTCTTAGGTCTCTCTTTATGTAGTGTTGTGGTGTCTCTCTTGTCGTGATGTGTGGTTTGTCCTATATTTTTATTTTGTTTTGTATTTTTAATCCCAGCCCCCCTCCCCACAGGAGGCCTTTTGCCATTTGGTAGGCCGTCATTGTAAATAAGAATTTGTTCTTAACTGACTTGCCTAGTTAAATAAAGGTTAAATAAATAAATGAGAAGCAGTAGATTAAAGTGGTGATAACAGGAGTGCCTGTGAGTGTTAGCACTAAAGAGGTAATCTACAACTTGAGAGGAGGCGTTCTAGTGAATGTTCAAAGATTGCAAGCAACAAGGGGTGGAGTTAGGGTAGATAGCCTGTCTATTCTGTTACATTTCAAGGACCGGGTACTGCCAAATAAAGTAACCATAGGATATATTAGTTATTATGTGAGGGCTTATGTACCAAAGCCTTTAAGATGTTATAACTGCCAGAGGTTTGGGCATGTGGCAACAGTCTGTAAAGAGAAAAATAGGTGTGCCAGGTGTGGAGGGGAGCATGAGTATGGGAAGTGTGGAGATGGTGTACAACCAAAGTGCTGCAGCTGTGGGGGTGCTCATAGTGTGGCATATGGTGGGTGTGAGGCAATGAAGCTGGCAGTGGAGGTGCAACAAGTGAGAGTGGAGAGAAGGGTGTCATATTCTGAGGCAGTGATGGTGGTCCAGGTCCAGGGAGATGCAGGTTCAAGGGAGAGATGGGTAGGAGCATCTAGACCGGGGATTACGGGGCAGGTGGGCGGTGATATGGTATACATAGATAAGAGAAAGCTGGTGACGTTCATAGCAGGAGCTATCAATAGCACTGCTAAAGGACAGTCTAAAACAGAGAGGATTCAGCCAATAGTGAAAGCTGCTGGGAGACATCTGAGTATGACAGGGTTGACATGGGAAGAGGTTCAAGATTACCTCAATCAGCTGAGGGTGGAGTCATATATTACTGGATCTAAGTTATGGTGGTAGTACTACAATGGAATGCTCCAAGCCTGTTGGCTAATGGACAGGAGTTCAAGCAGTTCATTGTGGATGTGCCAGCTAAGCCTGATGTGATTTGTGTGCAGGAAACATGGCTCAAACCGACTATGGAGTTTATCATACAGGGATATGTATTGGTTCGTAGGGACAGAGATTTAGAGAGGGGGGGGTGTGCCACCTTCATAAAGCAAGGACTTCCTTACAGGATGCTAGGCAAAGGTATTGAACAGGAGTACGTGGTGGTGGAGGTGTGGTTGAGAGGAGGGGTGGTTGTGGTTGTGAAAAGCATATAATCCTTGTCAGGAGTGGACTGGAAGTGCGGGAGAGGTGGAGGGCCAGGATAAGAGTAGGGAGTGGTTGGGGATTTAATGCCAAAACAGCTCTGGTGGGGAAACGGAGGGATGGAAATGGCCAGTGATGGGAAAATCTGATAGAATGAGAGTCTGGTGTGCTGATGATGGCCGAGGGGCCAGGATTGATGTAGCCACAGGGAGATCTGCCATGGAACCGCACTCTGGTGTCTAGTGGTCGAATGGCATGAATATGTGAGTGGAGGTATGGGAGGAAGTCACAGTAGGGAGTGTCATTACCCCATAGGATGTAACAAGTAGCCGGAGGGAGGAGGAGGTGTTAGTGGATGGAGTTAGGCAGGTGGGGGTGTTTGGAAGGGCAAAGGGGGATCAGTTTTCAGGAGAGCTGAGTGGAGCAGGTGATGGCTCGGGGTGGATATGAGAGGGGAGGTGATAGTATGAATAACTGGGTGAGACAGCGTTAGTGGGGGCAGCTACTGAGGCTATTACCTAAGAGTTCAGGGAGGAGGAGGAGGAAAGCAGTCCCATGGTGGACGGAGGAGTGTGGGGCAGCGGTGAGGAGTAGGAACAGGGCATTTAGAGTACTGAAAAGGACGCATAACTTCCAACATCTGATTCAGTATAAGCAGGCCCAGGCCCTGGTGAGGAGAACTATCAGGGCGTCACCTGTGGGAGAAGTGTGAGGGATGATTAAGAGGATGAGTGGGGTCAGAAGAGAGTGGGATTATCCAGTGTTGATGAGTGGAGAAGATGTGGCAGTAACAGATTTACATTTACATTTTAGTCATTTAGCAGACGCTCTTATCCAGAGCGACTTACAGGAGCAATTAGGGTTAAGTGCCTTGCTCAAGGGCACATCGACAGATTTTTCACCTAGTCGGCTCGGGGATTAGAACCAGCGACCTTTCGGTTACTGGCACAACGCTCTTAACCACTAAGGTACTCTGCCCTCTCCAGATGAGGAGAAGGCAGAGATGATGGCCAAAGCGTTTGTCCAAGTGCATAGCTCTGCAAATTTGTCAAAGGAGGGGGAGAGAGAGAACGAGAGAGGAGCACCCTGGAATGTTGGATAGGAGAGAGGATGTAAATGATGTGTTGAATGCAGCATTTACCATGGCAGAGATGAAAAGGGTAATAGGTAAGGCTGGGTTAACTTCACCTGCGAAATATGAGGTGTGCCATGTTATGTTGGCCCATCTTAGTGATGAGGCACTGGATACGGTATTGGTGTTGTACAACAGAGTGTGGGAGGAGGGGAAACTACCAGGCAGCTGGAAGGAGGCAGTAGTGGTACCAATCCGGAAGGGAGGGAAGGATCCAACGAGGCCAACAAGCTATCGGCCAGTAGCTTTAACATCACATGTATGTAAGATTATGGAACGTATGATTATGGAGAGGCTAACTTACTTCCTGGAGAGCAGGAGGCTAGTGTCGCCACATCCGAGTGGGTTCAGGAAGGGTAGGGGAACTATGGACCCAGTGCTCTACTTAGAAGCAGAGGTCAGGAAGGCTCAGGTTAACAAGAAGACTGTTGTAGTTGTCTTTTTTTATGTGGAGAAGGCATATGATATGATGTGGAAGGAGAGGTTGTTAATCAAGCTTGATATTATGGGGAAGGAGGAAGAACGTACAACTGGATAAAGGATTTCCTGTTTGGAAGGTCTATTCAGGTGAGGGTGGGGAAGTCTCTATCAGGCAGCTACCTGGTGGATAACGGTACACCACAGGGGAACGTGATTAGTCTTCTGTTGTTCTCAATCATGATCAATGATGTTTACTCTCAGGGGCGGCCGGATATTGGGAGGTTGTTATTTGCAGATGATGGGGCCTTATGGAAGAGGGGAAGGGCCATACATAGTCAGGAAGGTACAGGAAGCTATTGGTGAGGTAGAGCGGTGGGGCTTCTGGTTCTCTGTAGAGAAAACAGTGTTCTTTTCCAGGAGGAAGGTGGGAGATGAGGTATGCTTGAGGTTATATGGGAGAAACTTGGAGAGGGTGGGGTCCTTCAGGTTCCTTGGGGTATACTTTGATACTAGACTGACCTGGGCAGAACACATTGAGAGAGTGGTTGGAAAGTGTAAGAAGGTGCTAAATGTGATGTGCTGTCTGACGGGGAAGGAGTGGGCGTTCCTCATTGATCCGATCTGTAATAGACTACGGCAGTATAGTGTATGGTTTGGCAGCCCGGACCTGCTTGTCATACAGGGCCAAGGACTCAGAATATGTAGTGGGGCGTTTCGGACCTCCCCAGTGGCTGCACTACAGATGGAGATGGGGGATATGCCATTGCATATTAGGAGACAGCAGCTGGCAATTAATTATTGGGTCAACCTACAGGGACATGGGGTGTCTCATCCTGCAAAGGGATTTTACAGGCATGCTGGGAACATGAGCGAGGACAGAACACAAGCTTT